TAAAATAAAATAAAATACACTCTTACTACATATGGTAAGATCCAGCAATCACACTCCTTGGTATAGATCTAAATGAACTAAAACCTTATGTTCACATACAAAAGTGTACATGAATATTTGTTGGTGCTTTATTCATAATTACCAAGAGCTAGAGTTAAGCAGGATGTTCTTCAAGAGGAAAACAATCAGTGGTAAATCCAAATAACAATCGATAAATCTATGTGACAAATACTGTGCAGCAATAAAAAAGAGGGATTAAGCCTAGAAAACACACAAAGAACAAACGAAACAAACAAACTCATAGATACAGAGAACAAACTGATGGTTACTAGATGGGAAAAGGGTTCGGGGCTGGGTGAGATAGGTGAAGGGATTAAGAAGTACAAATTGGTACATAGTTACAAAATAGTCACAGGGATATAAAATACCTGTATGGGGAATATAGTCAATAATATTACAGTAACTATGTATAGTATCTAGACTTATCAGGGGATCACTTCATAAATTATATAAATGTCTAACCAGTACACTGTACACATGAAACTAATATAAAATAATACTGAATGTCAACTACAATTAAAAATATAGTCACAGAGATGTAAAGGACATCATAGAGAATATAGTAAACAATAACATAAAAACTATATAGTTTTTACTATATAGTTTTATTGGCGTTTTACAGTTTTATTGGCGTTATCACTTTGTGAGGTATATAAATGTCTAATCAGTACATTGTTTTTATACACCTGAAATTAATAAAAAAAAAGAAGCACTAAGGGAAAAGTGAGTGAGACTTAAGTTTTCAATAAACAAACATCAAACAAGTAGAACCCTACCACTCATGACAACAACAAACACAGTTAAGAAAAATATCTATTTGTACTGGCTTTTTTATATAAAGAAACACTAACAGCATGATCCAATCTGGTTATTTGAGGGTGGATAGCGTTAGAGCACAGGGGTGGAGCAGAATTTGCAGACAGGGCATCTTCTGAAGTTAGTTTCCCAGCTTAGTAATGTTTTTAACCTTTCCATGCATTATTTACTTAAAGGTGGAAGCTTAGATACACCACATTTTCCTATGCTTAGCCATTAGTTTTAATTAAATTTTGCTTTACAAAGAATTAAATATTGGGCTGGCCGAGTGGCACGCTGGTTAAGAGTTGGCTTGGGGGCCGGCCGAGTGGCGCGATGGTTAAGAACTGGCTTGGGACGCCAGAGGGCCCGGGTTCGGATCCCACATATGAGGGCCAGTGACATTGCCCTTCACAGCTAAGATGCTGAACAACGGCTCGACCTGGAGCTGGGCTGCTGTGAGTCGCCAGCGACGGCGTAGGCTGCAGCCCCTGCTGCAGTGGGTTGCCATGGGCTACCGTATGTAGCCAGCAGC